TTAGCAAATACTTAAACTAATAACAAAACATACTTACAGTCGCTGATTCAGAAGCGCCAGACTGTCATAGCAAAGTCGGAATTGACCCTTTTTTTTTTTTAGCAATAGCCTTTGTGCACAGCCATCCTTGTACTCTTCTAGGTTAAAAAAACTGTCGTTCATAAAATGCGTTGCACAAATTCGAACATCTGGGTTGTGCTGTTCCGTTGTAAATAAATCTTAACCAATGATTCCTAATTGCATCTACTTCCGGAAGGCCAAATAAAGAGCTTTTGCTTTCGCACAGAAACACACATCGTCTCCCTGACATGGCTGCATCAACAAGCCTTCTTTCTTTGCGTGCACATTTGGGTGGCATTATGCTAATATTAGCAATCCACTACTCCACAATACCAGGAGTCCAGTGTTTCAAACATTGGTTTGTTGATGCATGCATTCAGAGCAGCAGAGATGAAGTTATCAAGCGAAATGTCACAAGTAGCAACTTGATGTGCTAGTGAAATTGCTGTGTAGATGATTTTTGGACATTCCACATCATAATGTTATTGTTTGCCTTTCAATTTGACTTGCAAATGAGCAAAAACTCTACTGCTGACCTCAATATGTCACATAGACTATTTAAAACACTAACATCTCATGTTCAGTCGTTTGTGCATAACATAATAAATATTCATGAGCTATGCCTTCACCAGCTAATGCCATCAGAACCAGCACGTCTGTGAAATACTACTGCCCACCACCCAGGAAAAACACCTTAACATTTTCATATTTTTAACAATACTGTACATTGATATGTTTATTATTTTTAATAGTTCATAACGTGTATTGTGCTCACCAAAGCTGTATTTTTAAATAAAAAAATACAGTAAAAACAATAATAGTAAACAGCAACAGCAATAATGATAAAATAATAATATGCTATATTTTTGTTCAGGATTCATTGATGAATAGAAGGTTCAAAAGAACAGTGATTATTTGAAATAGGAATCGTTTGTAACATTATACATGTCTTTACTGTCAGTACATTTTAATGAATCCTTGCTGAATAAAAGTTTTTTTTTTTTTTTATCTTATCCCAAACTTTTGAATGTTGTTGTTAATAATAATAATAATAATAAATGTTTCTTGAGCAGCAGATCAGCATATTAGAATGATTTCTGAAGGATCATGTGACACTGAAGACTGGAGTAATGATGCTGAAAATTTAGCTTTGCATCACATGAATAAATTACATTTTAAAATATATTTCAATAGAAAAGAGTTACAGTTAAACTGTAATAATAATTCACAATATTACTGTTTTTATCAAATAAATGCAGCCTTGCTGAGCATATTGTTTTTCTTATAAATCTTATTTTTTGCAAACTTTTAACCATTAGTACAGTATGTAATTACAGAGGTACAACACTGAAGGTACTTAACCATAATATTACCATGACACTATGTCCATAAACATGGTAATACTTTTTGGCATACTTTGTCAGTATAGACCCTCACAAGTAGAGTATCTGTGAGTGTGTGTGTGTGAGTGTGTGTGTGTGTGTGTGTGTGTGTGTGTGTGTGTGTGTGTG